AGAGAGAGAGAGAGAGAGAGAGGTGGCTTAGTTCTTAAACCTGTGAGTTTTGTTCAGGTTGCTGGTTTATGAGTATGTCAACAATGGAAACTTGGAGCAATGGCTTCATGGAGCTATGCGTCATCATGGATATCTCACTTGGGAGGCACGCATGAAAGTTCTCCTTGGCACTGCTAAAGCGTAAGTCTGCCGATACCTAAGTTTGAATTGTTTGCACTTGTGGTTTATCACATCCTGACTCATTTTAACATTTTGCAGGCTGGCTTATTTGCATGAGGCCATTGAGCCAAAAGTTGTGCATCGAGACATCAAGTCGAGCAATATCTTGCTTGATGATGACTTCAATGCGAAGATATCTGATTTTGGTCTGGCAAAGTTGCTAGGTGCTGGAAAGAGTCATATTACAACTAGAGTTATGGGTACCTTTGGGTTAGTAATTCTTTTGATGAACAGTTACTTGCAACTTTTTGTTTCAAGATTCTTTGTGGGTAGAAGAACTGTAAGTAATTAGTTTAGAGGTAAGAATCCTTTCTTATCAGTTCCTTTCATCATTCCTTTCTTTTTTCAGATATGTAGCCCCAGAATATGCCAATTCCGGCCTTTTAAATGAAAAGAGTGATGTTTATAGCTTTGGAGTTGTGATTTTGGAAGCAATTACTGGAAGAGACCCAGTGGATTATGGTCGGCCAGCACAAGAGGTATGTAAGAAATGCTATTTTTTCAGATTGAGAATTTTGGTTCATACATGCATTTTTAGTTCTGTATTTCTAATATTTTATTAGTTCTGGTTGCATGTCACATTCGATAGTAAACGCACCAAACAAACGCATAATTACCTTGGAATTGTTTGATGTGTTCCGTGATGGCTATCTTTAGACAAAAAGAAAAAGAAGAAATAATACCGTTGTAGTCACAGTTGTCCTTACACCTGCTGGGCGGTTCTTGCAGGTAAATTTGGTAGACTGGCTCAAGGTGATGGTTGGAAGCAGGCGTTCAGAAGAGGTGGTGGATCCGAACATTGAGACCAGGCCATCAACGAGTGCCCTTAAACGAGCCCTCTTGACTGCATTGAGGTGTGTAGATCCAGATTCTGATAAAAGACCTAAGATGGGCCAAGTTGTTCGCATGCTTGAGTCAGAGGAGTATCCCATACCTCGAGAGGTATGTTTCTGAAATCATCTTTAAAGTAACAAACAGTACCGTGTTTGATGTTATCATGTTTCTACCATTGAATAATATGAAACCAATGACAAACAGACCTTATATCCATTTTTGAGACAAATGTGATTGGTTTTTTAATATTGGGTTTCCATCTCTATACTTGGGGAGTTCATAAGTTGATGTATCTAATGTGACTTGGTTGGAATTCAGGACCGAAGAGGTCGAAGAAGTCAAGCAGGGAATACGGAGGCTGGGTCTCTAAAAGACAATTCTGATACAGATAGGAGTGACAACCCGGATAAAAGGGCAGATAGCAGAAGGAACTATCGAAAATAGGCAAAGGGTTGAATCAATCATAGAATTGCAAGGAAAACAAGCCAAAGGGAACATGTTGCACTCATTTCAAGCTTTCACATTCTTGGGCCTGCCTTAGTTGAGATAAAGGAAAGGAATCAGAACGTGAAGGAATTTTTTTTCTTCTTTTCTTTTAAATACATAAACCTACTTATAGGTCTTGGAGAGATGGTTATTGTGTATGGAGTGGCATTAGATGGGGACGCCCTTGCCACCGGGTGTGTATAGTTCTGGTTTTTTCTTTTCCTTTTGATTTTTTTGGGTCTTAGGTGATTGTAGTTCATGAGATCTTCTTTTATGTATGTTTTGCCCTTCTTGTGAAGGAGAGATTTCAAGAAAAAAATGAAAGACAATTGTCCAAGTATATGCTAAACTTTACAGGAAGAAAATAGAAATTGTTATGCCAGTTTGTTGAAGAAATAAATTGTTTCTAGCTCTCCTACCTAATGCGTTTTGAAGCAATTCCACATAAAGAAAGGGAGTCACATGAGTGCCAAGTTCGTAGAGGGTTTGCATGTCATGTGAATTTTGAAGGCTAAAATTGAACACCATGTGCCTTGTATAATGGTACGCACGGGACTCTCTCTCTCTCTCTCTCTCTCTGAAAGTCACAGCATTGTGGGACGGTTGGTTTTCCAACAAATCCATTGAAAAGGAAATTTGAATGAACACAAAATATCAAGTTCTATTGTATTTGATTCTTGGTCTTTTAATTGCCAACGGGTCCAGTTGAAAAGGGCCTTGACTTGTAGATAAGAGGTCTCAAGTTCGAACCCCCACAATATCATAGCTGTGTGAGTGAAAAATCTTCCTCCCCTGTAATTTAGACTATCGCTTGTATTCAAATAATAATAATAATAATAAAGTTGGTAAGTTCGAAGAAAGCCCACATGAAGGGCATATATTGACTCATTGCGACATATCTGTTTTTATGTTTAATACAAGCAATCAAAAATGAGAAAGGAGGGTAAGAAAAACCATTCATATTGACGTTGACCTGGAAATGGGGTTGCTTTTTTTCTTTTCCTAGTCTTCTGCTCAAGTCCAAATATTACAATTCAAAGTTCAGCCACCTGCTCACAAAAGATTAATTTTTTCTAATGTTGGAAACTTCTTGTTTTCCAGGAGACTAATTAGACCCGAGAAAAGGAGGTTAATGTAGAATGGTCAAATAACCCAAGCTCCAATAAGCAACTTTTAAACCGGTAGCAGAATCAATGTGAATTATATAGGATCAGTAAGATTTTGATGACTCAAGGGGACCAGAGGATGTTACATGATCTACACAACTACGTTTACCAAATGAATCTTCAACAATATTGTCTGCAAGAGAGATTGACAGGTCGCGAATCCAGGCGTTTTTTGTTTCAATGGTGAGGGCCGGACCGAGCATTCAATAGCGGCTGTAGAGCCTTGACGACAATGCTCATATTTGGCCGAAAATCAGCTTCATATTGGACGCACAAGGCAGCAACAGCAGCCAGCTGTTTCAAGCACAAACAATGGTGATCAGTGGATGTGAAGTACATCATCAATGACAAATAGCCATCAGATTAAAGATCCCTCATTCCTAAGAGAGTGACCTACCCACCATTTCAATTAGTCGATAACTGGCCAGAACAAAGTACGTTGTGTTCTTGTCACTCCAATTTACAACTTAAACATAACAAAACTATATGTTTGCACATATATTGAGGAAAAATACCAAAAGCAAGTATTTCTTGGAATTAAGTAATCAACTCATGGTAAATAATTACTCAATCCGTTTCCCATTACCTTTGCAACTGCCTTGGAAGGGTATTCTCCATTGAGTCTAGCATCCACACACTGCTTCACCTTATCTTCACTGAGTTTCGGTGTTGCCTAATAGAATAAATTCCCAAAAAAAAAAACAAAACCAAAACAGCTGAAATGAAAGATGCAAATCTATAACAAATAAAATTCCCCTTCCCAAATGAATAAAATAAGGATGCGAGTTGTATGAGTTACTAGTAAACAAGAACTAGGGTGAAATTAGTACCCATGTCACAAGGCTCTGCTGTCCACGTGGCAATGTGTGATCAACAGGTTTGCGCCCAGTCAAGAGTTCAAGCAGAACTACACCAAAGCTGTAAACATCACTTTTTGAACTCAGCTGTCCGGTCATTGCATATCTGCCGTTCAGAATCATATATAAGAATTAGGCCCAGTGGCTGTGCGTTTTAAGGTGTCTACTTCACGATGGCAATTAAAAGGAGACGACATATGCCAAATCAAAATTTTGAGCATGCATCATAATGTGATTTATAGAGTACATCAAGCAATAACTTACTCTGGAGCATGATAACCAAAAGTCCCAAGAACACGAGTGGAATGAAGACGTGCAGCCATATCAGGGGCTTGATTTGACAGATCAAAGTCAGCAATCTTTGCAACATCATCATCAAAAAGCAGTATATTGCAGGACTTAATATCACGATGGATTATATGAGGCTGAGCCTTTTCAAGTAAATATTCAAGTCCTCTTGCTGCTCCAACAGCAATTTTAACCCTTTGCACCCATGACAGAACTGGACCTGGCTGTGCTCCCTTAACACCTTTCCGTCCTATAACCACATATCAAGGAGATAAAGGCTATCTTACTACTTATCAAAAGGGACATAACCCAAAAAGTTGCAGAAATTTGTGAACATATAAAATCTCAGCATGCTCAAACAAGAATAAAAGATTTATATGGTCCTTCAGAATTTATAATTTATGGAGGGTATAAATAACATCAAATGATAGGCAACAGTGGTGAAGAAATAAGAAGTTTGAAAAGCATAGAAATGTACTTACCATGGAGAATATCATGAAGTGACCCATTAGGAGCGTACTCATAGGCAAGGAGACGGAGAGGGCCATCAATACAATAACCAACAAGCTCAACAACATTTTCATGTTTTAGTCTTGAAACCATGGAGACCTGTAAAGTTATGATCCAAGCATATTTGAGCACAAAATTGCATACCATGTAAAGTACCAAATAAAAAACATTCCTGTAGACCTAACCTGTGATAAAAATTCTTGGTCAGGTTGTTTACTGGAATCTAACTTTTTAATAGCTGCAGCTGGCCCACTTGTCAGAACCCCATGATATACTCTTCCATATGAACCCTTCCCAATTAAGGACTTTGTGCCAAAATTATCTGTCAAATCTTTTAATTCATCGACTGGAATGGCAGGGACAGCAATGGGTAGGATATTTACAGTCTGAGAACCATAAACATCCTGCTTTTAGTGCCCCTACTCTCTATCTCTCTTCTCGCATGATTTAAAATGGTGTAAATTAAATAAGAACAAAATCTCATCGTTGGTCATCCAAATAGATTGAACAAACATCTGTTGCTGCATCCCCTACTCTACAGAATTTGTCCTTGCTACAATAGTTCCTACTTAGTACTTGTTACCAGTAGTCATTGCAAGAACACTGCCCATCTTTGAAATGATGGAAGCGACTGCGGTCTCGCACGATAATCTCTCGCTCAACGATTTTGGAGATTATTTTCGTTGCATCATGGCAGTCATTGCAAACCCTCAAATTCTTCACAATTCGGATGGTGGTTCCTGGACTAGTACTGATAAGGCCAAATGCAATGGCCAGCTTCTCACTATGAACCGACAGAGCATCCTCTTTCTCTTCTTCATCAATATTATGGAGGACCAGATCGGTCTTCGGTTTGTACCCAGCTAGCTTCATTTTCCTCCTTAGTTCTCTAATCATCCAGTATATCTTGTCCAGCTGAGGATGGGACAGGTCTCCCATGAAGAACTCATGGACTATGTTATCCACCTCTATCCAACTACAGCCCGGTGGTTTCGTTACGCCTTTGTCTCGCATCCTCAGCCTACAGTTTGCTGCATCATCCAGCCTACCCATTGAAGTATATACATTGGCAAGATAGACATAGCTTCCAGAATGATCGGAATCTAGCTCGAGAATGTGCTGCACAACACGTTCGCCTCTCTCAGTGTCTTTACAAATCCGACAACCACCAAGCAATGCACCCCAGACTATAACATTGGGCTTCACAGGCACGGAGTTGATCAAATCTTCTGCTTCAACAAGGCGGACGGCGCGGCTGAGAAGATCAACCACACAACCATAATGCTCAACCTTGGGGAAGATCCCATATCTTTTGTCCATCATATCGAAATACTCAAGCCCCTTGTCGACCAAGCCAACATGAGTGCACGCTGTCAATAACCCCATGAAAGTAATGTCATTTGGCTTCACCTCATGCTCAATCATTTTGTTGAAACACCCGAAAGCTTCATCAGCATGGCCGTTCATGGCCAACCCAGTAATGATAATGCTCCAAGATATCACATCCCTCTGATGCATCTTTCCAAAAACCAGCTTAGCCTCAGCTATGCAGCCACACTTGGCATACATATCTGCCAATGCATTCCCCAAAAACAAACCCAACTCCATCCCACGCTGTCTTATAAACCTATCAATCCACTTCCCCAAGTCAAGTGCGCCAAGATGAGCGCAAGCAGACAACACACTAACAAGCGTGACATCATTTGGCGCCAATCCATACTGTTGCATTTGCCTAAACAAACCAACGGCCTCAGCATACTTCTCATTCTGCGCATACCCGGCAATCATCGCATTCCATGAAACCACATTCCTCTCCGGCATCTCATCGAAAAGACGGCGAGCTTCCCCCAACTCCCCGAACTTCGCATACGCAGTTATCATAGTCGACCAAGAAAACAAATTCTTCTCTGCCATCCCATCAAACACCCCCCTGGCCTTATCAACCTGCCCGCTCAAGCAATACCCCGAAACCAAAGTGTTCCATGAAACAACATCCCTCACACCCATTTCATCAAACAGCTTCTGGGCAATCCCGAAATTACCCACCTTGAAATACATATCAGTAAGCGAATTTCTGACAAATAAATTACCCTCACACCCGTATTTAGCGACAAAGCAGTGAACTTTCTCTCCCTCCGTCACTTGGACAAGGCCAGCGCAGGCCTTGAACACAGAAGTGAACGTGTACTCATCTGGGGCCGGAGCATTTGGCGAACCCAGTTGCCGATTGAAGTAATATATGGTGTGCTGCCAGTCATTGTTTTGAGCAAAGGCTTTGAGAAGGGCATTGTAGACGAAGATGTTTGGGGCTGTGAGGAAGTGGTTGAATACGAGCGCCACTTGGCGTATGTTGGCGTGGTCGGCGCAGACGCCGATGAGCTTGACGGCAATGATGTTTGGGTCGATGGAGGGTACTGGGTTGATGGTCGCTTGGGCTTGGATTTGGTAGAGGTGGCGCATGGAAAGCTGGGCGGCGCATCTTAGCAGGAGGTGAGTGAGCTTGGGGTGGTTGTGCGGGTAAAGAAGAGCCAGGATGGGTTCGGCTGAGTCGCTGACTCGGTTACTCTGCGCAATGTTTTACAGAGAAGACGACCTCGGAGAGACGAGTTCAAATGTCACAGAACTAAACCAGCACAGGGGAGCCCCTGGGCTAAAGGATGGGCTACGTCCACGGAGAAGTATGTTTTCATTATGATAATGTGTGTATACATTGTACATAGGGTTAGACCCAAGGGGAAAAGGAAGAATACCGAAGGTTGAAGGCAGATGCTGAAGGCCGAAGGCTGAGGATCTGGCTGATGGCCGATGATCCGTGACATGTAGTAAGTAGGCCAACTTAAAGATCCCGAATGATGGGCTACGTCCACGGAGAAGTATGTTTTCATTATGATAATGTGTATACATTGTACATAGGGTTAGACCCAAGGGGAAAAGGAAGAATACCGAAGGTTGAAGGCAGATGCTGAAGGCCGAAAGCTGAGGATCTGGCTGATGGCCGATGATCCGTGGGCTTGTAAATGGGCTCATGGGTAAACCCATGGGGCCCCAGTAGCCTGCTCCAACTCTCTCCCTCCTTTCTTGAAGGGGAGAGGTCTCCTTTTATAAAGAAGGGAGAGTCCTCTCCTCTTGTGTTTTGTCGATGTGGGACTTCCTTCCCTTTGGCTTGGGAGTGTTTGGGAGTGCTTGGCCAGATATTGTACAAACAGGAGTCTCCCAAGTTCCCGATTAAGGAGGTACTTCTTGATTGGGGACTTGTAGTCATCAATGCACTGGCCAAGTAATGCTTCAGCTCATTCTTTGCTTTCAATTGTATGCAGCATCAATGTGGAGTTGTTGAGTCAGTTCTTCATTGGTGTCGTTTGACATGTAAACTAGGCGCCGTAAGGGAGAAGATTCTTCATGAGGTGCCGTTCGGCAGGTAGCTTTGGCTTGGCCAGATATTGTACAAACAGGAGTCCCCCAAGTTCCCGATTAAGGAGGTACTTCTTGATTGGGGACTTGTAGTCATCAGTGCACTAGCCAAGTAATGCTTCAGCTCATTCTTTGCTTTCAATTGTATGCAGCATCAGTGTGGAGTTGTTGAGTCAGTTCTTCATTGGTGTCGTTTGGCATGTAAACTAGGCGCCGTAAGGGAGAAGATTCTTCATGAGGTGCCGTTCGGCAGGTAGCTTTGGCGCCGTAAGGGAGAAGTATCTCCTGGGGGGTGCCGTTCGGCAAGGTGGGGTAGAAGCTGATGCTGGAAGCTTGGAAGTTTAGAAGCTGATACCGGAAGCTTGGGAGCTGCCGTAAAGGAAAAATGTCTACAGGGATGCCGTTCGGCATGTGGGCTTGGCGCCGTAAA